ATCTCTTGCTTCCTAGGTTACCTTTTAAATTATAGTCATTTCTGCTGCTACCCATGCCCGAAAACACTGCCAATGACTGGGAAAGCATATTGGCTGATGGAAGGACACTTTGATGTATCCCTTTATTGCAGGAAACCAGGGGAAGAGGGACAAGCCCAGGTGATACTGATCTAACGCTTGTAACACAGTTGTGCCAAGAACAGTTATTGCATGATCTTTTACTGAATACCTGCTGTGCCAAGGCTATAGAGAAGAAGACATTCTTCTAATCCAAATCTTGTGGAAGAACTAAAATAAAATATGGCAAAACACCATCATCAAAGAGCAAAGAATAAGAACTTCTTACTTGACATGGCTGAGAGTACAGCCAAAATTTTGAGCATCTTCATCAATAAGATGGTGTTTGAGCTGGTTTTGAAAATGAATATGTTTCATTCATGCTAAATGGGAAAGGAGAATAGGAGGGTATTTCCAACACAGGAGTCAACTCCAGCAAAATGATGAATGTGTGAGATAATAAAACTATTTAATAATCAGTTATCCACAAACTTCAACAAATCTAAGTGGACACCATGACCAAGCAGAGTGGACATCAATTGAAGACAGTGCATGGCCACACCATTATACACCACTTTACAGTCAGCTCCAGAGAGGGGCCAGAATGTTGTAGAAATGCTGAATGGCCTGGCATAGCTAATGCTAGTGTAATAATAACTGATACTTTGTGCTTACTATTAGTTATAGTGCTTTGCATACCTTATCTTATTAAGTCCAGGGGTTGGTGCTGTGGCGCAGCAGGTTAAAGCCCTACCCTGCAGTGCCAGCATCCCATATGGGTGCTGGTTTGAGTCCTGGCTGCTCCACTTCCCATCCAGCTCCCTGCTAATGCACCTGGGAAAGTAGCGGAGGATGGTCCAAGTCCTTGGGCCCCTGCACCCACGAAAGAGACCCAGAGGGAGCTCCTGGCTCCTGCCTTCAGATCACCTCAATTCCAGCCATTGTGGCCATTTGGGGAATCAACTAGCAGATGGGAAACACTTCTCTGTCTCTACTTCTATGTAACTATATCTTTCAAATAAATAAAATAAATCTTTAAAATAATCCTCCAATCAATCCCTATACTGTTGCCATCCTCATATGAAAGATGGCAAAATTGGGTGTCAGAGATAAAGTCACTTACCCAAGTTCACTTAACTCAGAAATATTACAGCTGAAATGTAAGCCTATACAGATTAACTCCATAACTTATATTCTTAACTAAAGTTTACTACCTCAGGGAAGGCAAGAGCATAGATTTGATTTTTCAACATTATGAGGGTATACAAATAGGTAAAATAAGCTGACTTTTCCTGTATAGATGTGAGTGTCTGGCTAAGGAAACAAGATTCCCAGTCATGCGCCATTATAGGAGTATCCCATAGCAACATGTGACCCTTGTGCAATGTGTAGGACATTTAGTGAGTGCTGTAGCTTCTTACCAAAACTGGAATGGTTATGGAGAAAATGGAACTTGAAATTAGGCTTCAGAGGTAAGGAATAATGGGAAGAATACAGCATTAGGTCAGAAGTGCTATGTCAACTCACTAGCAGTGTGACCCAGGTAAAGTAATTTCCTCTGTCTTGTCATCTGCAAAGTGGGTGATTTGGGTTACACTAGTGGTTCTTAATGGAAGTACCTCTTCTACTGCTTTCCCAGGCCATAGCAGAGAGCTGGATCGGAAGAGGAGCAGCCAGGTCTTGAACCAGTGCCCATAGGGGATGCTGGCACTGCCGGTGGCGGCTTTACCTGCTACACCATAGCACCAGCCCTGAAATTATCTGAGTTTCGAGCATAACCACATTTTATATATTGAATGAATTTTTTATGGTTTTATTGTTATGATTAAAGCCACCTTGTAACTAAAGGGAAAATTGTACTTCTTTCCCAGAACCTTGCCATGAGTTATTTGCCATTTCAGAGAATCACCGCAGTAATAGCAACTACGTTCCTGGTACTTGGGTCACCAGTAGCACAGCTCAGTGTCATTCTGTTCTGTGTGAGCAGGCTGTTGCATTCATGATGATTCCGTGTAGAGCTGTTAGCTGCTCACTTTGTTTCATCTCCTAATACAGCCAGACATGAGCTTTTACATACTGAAATATATGTTATGTTGATATAAATTATTTTCCTTTGCAATATGATTAACAAATATGTGTTTCTTAAATTACTGCTTATGTATCTATTATAGCTTATTTCTATGAATTTCTTTTTCAGGATAGCAAGGGAGAGTAATAAATAATTGCAGTAAAATTATGTGCTGGACTAATAGAGTTAAGTATTAGATTAAGTACTAGACGATTCCCCCAAGGCCTTTCCAGTGTTAATTTTCTGTGAGCATAAGGAAGGTTGGATTTTGAGGGGAAAGGGAAAATCTTCCGAGGTGACAATGATACCAGTGATGTGGCCTGGTTGTGGAGGTGTTGAAATGTCCCCCAGACAAGCCATAATAGGACAGAGGCCTCCTCATGGCCAAGTCTGGTCATGTTCCCTGGAAGCTACTTCTAACCCCTCCCACCTCACTGTAATTGAAGACTCCTGGGGAAGCTGCCAGGGCTGGCATTACAGGAAATTGCCTTTTAGCCAGTGGGGCTTCTCTGGTTACTTTCCTCAGTGACAGAGGACAGTGATGGCTTCCTGTCTGTTAGCTGGATATCTTTGCCTTCTTGTTCTGGCAAGCTCCTGAGAAATGCTAGCTTCTGCTCCTTATGATTTTACTCAGCTCCTGTTATTGGGATTTTCCCCCCGTCTTATCCAGTCCCCTTGTTTCTAACATCCATGCTTCATGTTGGGATATGGAAACTTTTGGTGTATAATAGATGATTCTTTTTCTTCTGGAATCTTGTTTTTTGTCGGTTTGGTGTTTGTTTGCTGATAGACGAATTTTATGGGACACCCGACTAGACACTGCTTGGCAGTAAGCCATAGCTCCAAATAGATGCCATTTGACTTTGACAACACCTACTGAATCTTCTCCTTTGAAGGGGATGACTTCTGTCATATAGGGATACGTGTTATCTTTTGCTCCCTACTAACTATACGTACCCATTAAAGACTACTTGCAAAATACAAAACGTTTGGAGAAGCAAATGCGTATTACCCATAACCACAAGAAATATAGTTTATAATATGAGACAAGTTGACAGCATAGGTAAAGGTTAAATTCAGTGCTCTTTGTTCTCAATTCTATACCAGCCACCAAGGTTCCTCCTCCCAGAGCACTTCTTGATATCAACCATATAAAAACTTGTCTGTCCTATACACCATAAAATGGAGGGCAAACTGGAAAGTGTACAGTAGCACTCACCATGTCAAAGGCATATAAGAGAGATAAAATATCTCATATCAGGAAGGTGTTTAGAATCTAAAATAGCAATATTTTGTCATAGCTCTGCCATCACTACCTTATTACCGAGGTGTTCTGGTGATAAAGTGTTGTGGGAATGTCTAAAGAGATAAGAGACCATTTGAGAAATTCACAGTGCTCCATGGGAATTAGGAAAAGACACAGAGTGCACAGAGGCAAGAATGATTAAGTGTGAGGCCAACTCATAAACATGCCTTTCTCTTTGGAAAAAAAAAAGCCAACATTAAACAAAAAAAGTTAGATGATACTAAATCCATCCCAGAGATAAAGTTCTTGTACAGATATTGGAATTAATGTTTTGCTTTTTTCCCAAAGTGGATAAGGTCAGAATGGCAGTTTTCCTCATTTTTGAGGTCTGGTTTTGAGGCTTTGGTACACAAAAGACTTAGAATATAGTGAGGCATAAGGGTTAAGGTCAAAACATTGCAGTCAGTCAGACCAGGGTTCAAATCTTAGCTTAATTCCTATAGCCATGAAACATTTTTTGCATGCCATCCATTGTTTTAGGTGCTAGTGTTACAATATTGGCCAAGAAAGAGAAGGTACCTACTTACATGGATCTTATATCAGGGATGATAGAATATATAATGAAGAAAAGACAACAGAGTGAAGTGATTGAAAGAAATAGAGACCAGTTTATGCTGAGTTGTTAGGAATGGCCTCTCTGAGAAGACAGTTGAACTGAGACCTGAAAATAGGTCAGTAATAAAAAACAACTAGAGGAAGAACATTCCAGGAAGAAGTAACAGCTAAGGCAGAGGCCCTGAGGCAAGAATAGTCTTGATGTTTTTACAGAATAGAATGAACCCACACCTATTAGATTGAAACTGAGTGATCCAGGGTTGGAGAGAGTCAACACGCACCAGGTCATGTGAAGGCTTTGTGGAAATTCACCTAGAAATCATCTTTATCTTCATCATCATCATCATCACCATCATAATCATAATCATCACTATCATCATTGTGGTCGTCATCATCATATTCATCAAGCAGAGGAGAAGAAAAATGAAATTGGCGTGTTTGGAGGATACTGTATGATATGACCTGATGAATTTGGATCTGACTCCTCAGCACAAAAGTACCACTATAGACTTTGAGTGGCATGCTAGAAATTCAACCCAGGGAGAACAATTCTGGGAGTAGAACACAGGGTGGCCATGTTCATCTCTCACTGCATTCCTGGTGCTTGAACATCTCTCAAGTTTCTGCTACAACTACTGCTTTATTAATGAGTTAAAATGCACAAGTCACTTGACTGGTATACATCTAAGGTCTATATTTAGCTCTCTGTTAAGAAATTATCTTGTACTTTGTGACTGAAATTTCCACCAGTGATGGGGCATCTAAGTCAGAGTTTGAAAAGCAGCTATCAAATTGGCTATTTGGGAAAGTATAGGCCTGAACTAAAAGGTTGTTGGTTTTAGATGAGCTTTTCTTTAATTTCACTCATGACACTGTCAGATGAGATCATTTTGCTACTCTAAACTGACTTGCTTAGGAAGAGTGTGGCCAAGTGCTAGATTCCCTAGAGCAATGTTACTTCTTGGTTCACATGTTTTACTAACAGTTGTTTGTTTGTTTGTTTGTTTGTAATAGGGAGAGAAGAAGTCCCATGGACAGCCATGCGGGGGTCAAGACTGCAGTGGGGGCTGCAAGTGCTTTCCTGAGAAAGGAGCAAGAGTAAGTTGCTTATTTCGTTGTTGAAAGACAAATAGTCACAGAAGTTTTCTTTAGTATTAAACTGCTTAGAATTTGCTCTTTGACCTCATAGAACAAGCAAACTAATGAGGACCAGCTGGAAAGAGCTTTGATAACTAATGATAGGCAGAAATAGACTGATCAAAGTCTCTGAGGGACCAAGAAGAGGTTTCCTTCATTGACTTCCTGCCAAGGTTTCCTCAGGGGTTCATCTGGAGAATTTCCAAAAGCCAATTAGGTTGTGCAGAACCATATTGTGGTGATGGTTATAGATATGTGTAAATTTTCATAGTTCATTTTAATCTACTTGGTTCTTCCCTACCAGTCTCGGGAACCAGTGACCCAACTGTTAACTGCAGTCTAGGGATGGGACTTGTCCAAAATCACCCCCCTTGTCAGTGGTGGAATCAAGATTACAGGGTAGCCATAAGTCCAGAAATGCAGGTGACTGTACATAAGGAGTGGTTTATAGAAATTATGCTAAAACACATAGGCTATGTTTTAAAAACTGTGACATATTCGATATATTGTCCTTCATTAGAAATGTACAGTTCAAATTGTACAAATTGCAATGAACATTGGCACAGCATCTCCACCAAGCCCAGTAATATGCATAACCCTCAAATGACTACTTGTATATCTGATTTTCACTGAACAAACTATGGCTTTAGCATAACCCGTAGAAATATTCAAGGGGATTTAATTTATAAAATGCTATAGAACATATATATAATATTATGTAAATACAATATGTATGTATATGTGTGTGTGTGAGGTCTATGCTTCCAGAATTTATGGCTAGAGTAAAAAATTCGGATCTTCCAACATTGTGTTTGCACTCTGGTCACACTCAGGCCTAAGAGCTTACACTGTCACGGGAAGGTACCAGCATAAATAGGTCAAACAAATCTTCAGAAACGTAGCCAAATAGAGAACACAGTGACCGCTCCACCTTCTCTTTCATTATCTTCCATTTACAGTGAAGTGAAATGTCAAACCCTGACAGAATTTGAAGGAAAATAATAAAAAGCCATCTCTTCATCAAAAGGGATCAGACCTATTATACATTAAAGACACAGACTTAGGGGATCATAAAATATGAAAGCTTCTCATCTTGTCCACTGATTATACAGAGGGAACAAACTAAGTAGTAAAATGGCTTCTCAGAATCATACAGCAAATTGAGGAGAGATTCCAGGCTATTACGTGGGTCCTTTGATTTCACACCTATTTACTCAACCACTTACCCACTGCTGCCTCCCAGGGAAGCATGTAAACTATAGCCACTAAGACCTACGTCCTAACCTCTGATCTACAAGCAGGAAACGTCTTAGAAAAAGCTAATTCTACAGCAATTATATGATTGTAAAACAAGTCTCCCTTGGTGCTCTCTCTGTACAACTCTTTTTCAGTGCATAATCAACAATACAAGGGGACTTGAAGAAAATCATAAAATTGGAATGAAAATGTAAAAATATTTTGGTGCAAAAATTTTAAATTCACACATCATTTTTCATAATATGCATTCCATGAACTTTTTGAAGACCCCTCATATGTATACATAGATATAAAAATAGTTTGCTTTTCTGATTTTCTTTTCTAAACTCTTGGCCTTCTTTTCACCTGAAATGTCCTGGAGATGTTTCCCTCTACACCAGGATTCCATTCAGCCATTCCCCTCTTGATGGAACTTTTGGTTGTTCCCATATTTTTGATAGTTTATAAAATGGCGATGCTACAGTGGAAATTTTTTAAAAGCTCTCTTTATCCTAATCTCTAGCATATCTAAGAATCTGAATTATCAGTTACAAAAATAATAGACTTGTTTAACTTTTAAAACTACTTCCAAATCACCCCCCAGCAAAAGCTCTTCTGATTTATACACCCATTAGCATGGTTCAAGCATGCGCATGTTTCGGCATCCTTGGTTGACTTTTTTGCTATTATCATGAGTAAAAATCATCTGAATTTTCTCACTACATATGAGTTTAAGTGTCTTTTTACATATTCACTGGAAGTTTCTATTTCTTTGATAAATTTAAATTTCCTAGGCATTTCCTCTACTGCCTTCCTACTGATTAAGCCTCCAAAGATATGACAGAAACAATCCAAGTCGAGGCAAATGAGATTTGAGATTTCACAAAAGGGACAGTTCCTGATGGATTTGGGGGTAGGACTGTTGGGGACACTATTAGACTCAGCAATCAGGGAACTGAAAAGATACTCTGGACTATTTATTGTGTTGAGGATCCTTTAATAGTAGAAAATCTTATATGTATGGACTTACGTCAGTCTATACCGGGCAAGTGTACCTACAATGAGATCATTGTTTAACCCCTGGCTGAGATTTTGGTCTTTGAATATGGAAGGCAGTGGATTTACTCTCTAAGGAGTCTTCGTTTGGTTTCCAAACGTCTAGAGCCCTAGTCTGCCTTCTGCTTTGAAAATATCTGAGTGGTTGAAGCAAGGAGGGATGGAGAAAAATAGAATATCACTGTACAGATTGTTTTCTTCAATATTTAAAAGACACAGACTGCACCTAGTTAAAACATGTTCCTAAAAGTTTATTTGTGAAGTCTGGAGTTTGTGAGAACGTTTGTCAAGATATTGTATTAGAGCAAGCTGCAATGCAAGAATGTCCTAGTTCCCAAACAGATAAGGAGGCCAGTGCTTACGGAGCAAAGGCTGTGAACATGGATGCTTGATGCCCGCACCACCATGTCCAATTTAGCCATCCACCCCTCCCTCCTACACTCCCAGGGCCATGCAGGATTGTTTGAAGTGGGCCCAGCGCTATTGACTCTGAAGGACAGCCCTTCTGCACCCCTTTTATGCAGATGTCAGAAAGATTTGAGACTGTTTTCCTTAGCTGAGCAGAGGGCCCCATTTGGATTTCAATCTATTCCTCTCAAGCTGGGAGGGGAAGGGAACTTTGGGTCAGCCCTGGGCAATGCTACGGCCCTCGGCAGGCCTGCCTCCGGCCTTGGAGGAGACGTCAAGCACATAGCTTGCTGGGCAGCGTGTACTTTTCCTTTGCCAAAGGCCTCTTGAGCTGACTAGGACATTTACACAACACCTAGCACTCCTTCAAAACTACAGTCCAACCCTTTTTTGGCTGAAAGCATCTCAGACCAATGTCTCCAAGCTCTGCCCTGCTGGATTAAAGCCCTTGCCTAACGCTGGTGCACTGCTTTGTACTTTCCAAGCATCTTCTCTCGGGGGCTGTAGTACTGACTATATGGAACAAATAAATTGATAAGAAACTCACCCAAGACCAGTAGCCTTTTAGTGGCTAAACATTTAGCTTAGTTTAGGAGTATGACAACTTGAAAGAATGACATAACACCTAGTGTTAAATAAAGTATTTCCCCACCCCACCCCCCACCCTGAACACTTAGATTTATATTTAGCACTTGACTTTTGGTTTTCTTTCTTGATGGGCAGGTTTCACTACCTGGAAGAACTATTCTTTTGAGTTGTTCTCTTCCACAGTATTTTTACCCTGCCATTTGATTGAGCCAAACATTTAAGGTTGACATTTCCATCCCCTCTCTTTTTCCCTACTGAATTTGAAAGCATTACACCCCATCAGTGTGTGTTTATCTAAAGCTAGGGGCAAGAGTAGGAAGCTGCTTGTTTTGTTCTGAACCTAGCATTCCTCAGTATTGTTTAGAGTTTTCCCTGTTCTCACAATGTTCTGGCATTTATATACAGCACGGTGACCTCCTCATTTTCCATGACATGACATCCAAAGGAGAATTAGCACAGATAATCCAAAAACAACATGGAATGTTTAGATTCCCCTCTAAGTAAGGGCTATTTGCCCCCTGTTTTATGGCTTGGGAAGATTTGTTCTAACTTGACAGTTTATGAGACTAGCCTGAGTTGCATGTGAAATTGAGCCCAAAATTTCTTAATTCCTTATCTCCTGCCTGCAGCCTGCTGCTTCACTGCCACAAAATGTGTTTGCCATGAATTCTAGAGAGCCCAGATGCGTTGACCACTATGTCTTTAAATTATTCTCCTGCTGCCAACAGCTAGTGTTCCTTGTGTCAGTTGACTGGTGCCATGGCTACCAAGAGGTCTTCTTTACATTTTTTTTTCCTGAATTGGGCAGTTGCTATGTACATCTTTCCCTCCTCCCTCTGCATCCCACAGCGTACCTGTCCTGACCAACCACTAACACACACACACACACACACACACACACACAAACACCACATCCTCATTCTCTATTGTTCCACAGTGGAAAAGCTCATGTTGCACATGTCCTCCCGCCTTGTTCTAGCTGCCCTCACTTAGTCTGCATGTGTTTATTGCCCATTTACTACTTAGCTCTCTTGTGGGCAGACCTTATTGCTAACGCTAATCACCAATAACCTCTGCTTGTTGCCAAATCCAATGGATGTTTTTCCTTCCTTATCTTCCTTGATGTCTCTGGTGCATAAGATGCCCTTTTCTGTCCTACAGCTCTATGTTCCCTTAGACTTCATAATACGATCCTCTTGTAGTTCTTTTCCTACTTTGGGATCCCCCAGGGCTCTATCTTCATTCTGCTGCTGTTACTGTACTCCTCTCCCAGGGTGGTGTTATACACTCCAGGGCCTGCAGCCACCACCACCCCACACCACCCATGCAATGATAACTATTAAATCTCTAGCTCAGGTTAAGCATCCTCGATTTCTAGCTGGGTATCTCTGCTTGGATTTTCCCTGACTCCTTAAACATGTCTCATACAGAAGTCAGCAACTAACTGCCACCAGACATGTTCCTTCCCAAGTCTTACATGTGTCTTCCACATGTTAACATATAGCGTCACCAAGCACTCAGTTGCTCAAGCCCGAAATCTAGGATTAATTCTTATCTTTTCTTTCCCCTCCCTACTACCAACTTAAACCCATCATCAAGTCCTTCCCATTTATCTTCTAAAATGAAGCTCAAATCCATCCAATTTTCTTTTTATTGATATTTTCTGTCCAGGC